CGCTTGAACCCTCTGTCACGATGACTTGTTTTTTTCGTGCTAACGCAGCCATATACGGCCCCCAATTTCACTTACAAGGCTTGGGGGAACTTATATGAATATTGGAAAAATAGAAGAAAATTTAGACATACTTTCAGATTACTTTTTCCCTCTATGTACTGTGAACCTTCATAATGTTGGCGATCAAAGCATTCCACAATTTCCTGTCCTTTTAGCTCTTAAAAACTTTATCTTTTTGACATCATTCTCAAACCCAGCTCTGCCATCGATTCGCACAAGCTTTAGCTGTCTTGTGAGTATCAAAATTTCCAAGCATCCTTTCCTCATTATATTCCCCAGAATTTCAACTATCTTTCCTGATGGTAAGCATAAGGAACCTTTCTGTTGCCATTGTCTCTAGAAAATTATTTCCTTTTTCAAAACATCGAGATTTGATCATTGTCTAAGGAGTTCAGGTCAGTTTGTAGAAAATTTACACAAAGATGAAGAAGAAACTTGAAGCAGCATAAATGAGGTTCTACAGTAAGATGATGAGAATAGATGGATTGAACGTGTCAGTAACGCGGACTTTTCAAAGATAGAGGTAACAGACTCGTATATTCTGAATCGGCAATAGGCAGCCCCACACGGAAAAGAAATTACAAAACCTCCGTCAGAAGGTAGCGAAGGAGGGCAAGAAGAAAGGACTATGCATAATCTATAAGAAGTCATAATGGATAGTAATCAGTAAAAGGATGATCCCGAAATGCGATTTACAGGTCGGGGAGACTAAAATCAAGCAGGTGCGGATATTTAAATATCTGGGAAGTGTTTTGGCAGAAGACGGTAAATGCGACGTTGAGATCCGAAAACGTATTTGGCTGGCCAAAGACGAATTCCAAAAGCTGGGCAGAGTATTACGAGACAGGAGGATTTCATTCATAACATAGAAAAGACTACTGATCTGCTACGTGATATCTGTCCACCTTTACGTCAGCGAATGTTGTACTGTCTACTCAAAGATGAAGAAGAGACTCGAGACAACGGAGATATGGTTCTACAGAAGGATGCTGAGGATATCATGAACCCAGCCTTTGAGCAACAATGATGTTTTGGAGAGGATGTAAACATGAAGGAAGCTTATACTTAACACCAGAAAGAGACAGATGGAATTTCTGAGACACGTAATGAGAAAGGACGGCTTGGGGAATTTGATACTCTCAAGTCGAATAGAGGGAAAGAGGAACAAGAGAAAGCAACGCATGATATACCTGGCGGGATTAAACAAGTGGATGACAGAACAGCGCCTAGGGGATGTAGCAAAAGGAAAAAACTTACTGAGAGCTACAACGGATAGGGAAAAGTGGAGAGCCATGATTGCCTAGGTCCTGAAGAGACACGGCACATAAAAAGGTGAAAACTAGAGCCCATCACATAACATTCTGGATTGGACGCTTTGACGAGGTGTAATGGTTAGTACGTTTGTCTCGCTAAATCAATTACGACTGAATAATGAGTTTGATCCTCACTGGGTGCAATATCTTTTTAGCCTTGTTAGTTGCACCTAACCTACTCTTAGAAAGTCACCAAGGCACTTCCAAAGGATGTAACGGTTTGAATGGTTGTCTCGCTAAAACAATAACGACTGAAAAGTGAGTTTGATCCTCACTGGGTGCCCCATACTTTTAACTTTGTGCCACACCTAACCTACTCTTAGAAAGTCACCAGGACACTTCCAAAGGATGTAACGGTTTGAATGTTTGTCTCGTTAAGTCAATTACGACTGAATAGTTTGATTCTCACTGGATGCTCCATACTTCGGCATTGTTGTAATAAATATGGCAACAAAGATGGGGACAATAGTCCGAATAATGTAAATAGTGTACATAATACCTCATCTCAGAAATATGGACAAATACTGAAAGGCCGAAATGTTGTAATAAATATGGCAACAAAGATGAGGACAATAGTCCGTATAATGTAAATAGTGTACATAATACCTCACCTCAGAAATATAGACATACACTATTTTTATTGCTGGTAATATATTTTTTCAAAAATCTATTGCTGGTAATTTTTTTTCCCAAAAATTCTTGCTGGTGTTAAAATCTATTTTTATACTTTCATAGTGATTTGACACCATTTTTTTTTTGCGGGGGGGGGTAACTATTTGCCTATAGCTGGGACCCTGACAGGTGCTACCACCCCGGATCAGATTGGATCTGGAAACACCAGCAGTTAAGAGCTGGTTCCATGCTCCTCAAAACATCCTAATCAAAGGTCTTGCTGCCGGATGTAGTTTATCGTCTTACCCAGGACGGTGGGGATTCTATTCTTGTGTTATAAACTGTTATGCTCATTTTATGTGTGTGTCTATGTGTGTGTCTACGGGGGCGTGTCAACCCTGAATCTTAAGGTGTGTTAGATCATGAAATATATTATTATAAATGTATGAAACAAACCTGTAATAACCTGCCACCGTTTAAGGGATGGTCTGAGGCAACACAAATGTGGTTCTACAGAAGGATGCTGAGAATACCATGTGAGTTACGAGGACTTTTTCAGGAACGTGGAAGTAAGAAGCACACCTATATTTAAAATCAAAGACAGCTGAAATTTCTGGGACACATACTGAGGCAAGAAGGCTTGGAGAATTTAGCACTCGCAAAAAATATTGAAGGCGAAAGAAGAAGAAGGAAGTGCGCCACATAAATGATGAGCTTATATGACTGGATAAAAAAATGGGTAGATGCTGTGAATAATAGAAATATTTCTAAAATCTGCACGGAATAGGAAGTTGTGGAGAGCCATGATCGCTTACCTCTTAAAGCGATATGCGGTATAAAAGAAAAAAGGCTTGCAGTTAAAATCCGATTTGATATATTACTATAATCTGCACGGAATAGAAAGTTGTGGAGAGCCATGATCGCCTACCTCTTAAAGCGATATGCACTATAAAAGGAAAAACGCCTGCAGTTAAAATCTCTGAGACAATTAGTGACAAATGAGGACTCGGGAAATTTGATACTCACAGGATGGAGTGAGGTCAAATTTTATGTCAAACCTTCGCATCGTTGATACGAGAAGCCATTCTATCAACCAGAGAAAAAAATAACTAAGATAAAGATGGTCGTCCGAAAAAAGAAAAAAAAAATTGGGATCCTGTAAAACTTTCCTGGATTTCAAAATTGATTCCTATTGGGAAGATTATTTGAACACAATCCGATATTGAGGGCTGAATAATCGTCAACCCACCAGTCGCAGCTTGACAGTTCAAATTATTCCATGCACGACAAACGATGCCTATTTACGCGGTTGTTATTCAGGGGTGGGGGGTCGTATCTGCGGCTCAGGGACAGCTTTTTCTTTGTTAGTCACAGCCCAAAGATATCTAAAGAAAATCGCGTCTGATAAAAGAGAATGCTGTGCGCAAAAATGGAAGGAGGGATTTAATAGAGGCATGCGTGATTTTTTCAAAATTACTTCTTTCTTTCTTTTTTCTTTCTTTCTTTCTTTCTTTTCTTTTCTTCTTTCCTTTTTTTCTTCTTCTTTAATTTTTCTTCTTTCCTTCTTTTTTTCATTTTTTTCGTTTTCTCTTCTTCTTTTCTTTCTTTCTTTCTTTCTTTCTTTCTTTCTTTCTTTTTTTTCTTTCTTTCTTTTTTCTGAAATTTCTTAATCTTTTCTTCTTTCTTTATTTCTTCTTCCTATTTTTCTTTTTTTTCTTCTTTCTTTCTTTTTCTTTCTTTTTCTTTCTTTCTTTCTTTTCTTTCTAGTAATTTTTCCTTTCTTATATATCTTCTTCTTTCTTTTTTCTTTATTTCTTAAACTTCTTTTCTTCTTTTTTCTTTTTTTCTTTTCTTTTTTTCTTTTCTTTCTTTTCCTCCTCCTTCTTTTCTTCTTCCTTTAAAATTTTTCTTTTTTTATTTTTTTATTTCTTCTTCTTCTTTCATTTCTAGATTCATTCTATTCTTCTTTTCTTCTTTTCTTTTCAATAGATTTTTCTTTTTCTTCTTTTTCTTTCTTTTCTTTTTCTTTCTTTTTCTTCCTCTTCTTTTTCTTTTTTTCTTCGTCTTCTTTTCTTCGTTTCTTTTTTTACTATATTTCTAAAATTTCTTTTTCTTCCTCCTTTTTTTTTCTTTTTTCTTTCTTTCGTCTTCTTTTTTTTTTTTCTTCCTTCTTTTTCTTCTTTCTTCTTTCTTTCTTTTTTATTTCTTTTTTTTCTTTGAAATTCTTCTTTCTTCTTTTTTTTAAAAAATTTTTTTCTTTTCTAGTTTGAATCAAACTTTCTTTTCTTCTTTTTTCTTTCTTTTTAAAATTTCTTATCTTTTTCCGAAACGTTTAAATTTTCTTCTCATTAAAATTCAGTTTCAGATTGAAATTTGTTGTCGTTGTTGTTGCTTTTGTCGTTGTCGTTGTTGTTATTGTTCTTCTGTTTTCATTCTCCTTCTTCTTCTTCTTCTTTTTATTATTATTATTATTATTATTATTATTCGATTTCTGATGGTCCTTTTCAATATCAAGTCTGCGGGAAGACCCTAAGGCTGGTAAACAATATGTTCTTTTTTTTATGAATACATTTTACAAAAAATTTGTTTTTTTACCTGTTAAAAACATCACTGGCGTTCATAGTATGTAGATTTCAAAACTTATCAAGACAAATTTGTATTTCTCATAAGACTGGGTTTTTATTATTGCCATTATTATTATTTTTATTATTATTATTATTATTATTGGTATTATTATTATTGTTTTAAAAAATGAATGAATTAATTTTATATTTCGTCTTGTATTTTCATTCCCTTCATCATGGTTCATTTCTCATTCATTCATTCGTTCTTCTTTTTCACAAATTTTCTCTTTATTTCCTTCTGCTTTTCATTCTCCTTCTTTTTCTCTTCCTTTTTCTCCTTCTTCTTCTTCTTCTTCTTCTTCCTATTATTATTATTATTATTATTATTATTATTATTATTATTCTATTTTATCAAAATAATATCTGCCTCCTTTATTCCATTTTGTTTTTCATGGAATTTCCAAATACTAAATATTATATATATTTTATTATTGCGAATTCCTGTTTTCATTTCCGTTTTTATTGTACGTCTTTTTTTTTGTTTTCTGCTTCCTTTTTTTATTTATTGTTGTCCTTCTTCTTCTTCTTCTTCTTCTTCTTCTTCTTCTTCTTCTTTTTTAATTCTCTTACGTTCTCATTTTTAACATTCTTTTCTCTCTTCTTTCTTTTCTTTCTTCTTAATTCTCTTCCTTTTCTTTCGTTTTCTTATCTCTCCCACCTTCTTCTTCTTCTTCTTTCTTTCTTTCTTTTTAAAACACTTTTCTTCTTTTTTAGTTTTCTTTTCTATCCCTTCTTCTTAATTCACTTCACCTTCTTCTATAGTTTACATCTCTCACTTTCCTTTTCTTCTTCTTCTTCTTCTTCTTCTTCTTCTTCTTCTTCTTTTTTAATTCTCTTACGTTATCATTTTTAACATTCTTTTTTCTCTTCTTTCTTTTCTTTCTTCTTAATTCTCTTCCTTTTCTTTCGTTTTCTTATCTCTCCCACCTTCTTCTTCTTCTTCTTTTTCCTTTTGTTGATGTTCTTGTTCTTCTTTTTTGTTTTATCTTCTTTTTTTCCTTTTTGTTGCTGTTGTTGTAGTTCTTTTCCTTTTTGTTTTTTTCTTCTTTTCCTTTTTGCTTTATCTTCTTTTTTGTTTTGTATTTTGTCATTCGTTCATTTCTTCATTTCTCTTCTATTTCTTTTTCCGTCTCTTCTTCAAAAATTACTCTTTTATTCCATTCTGCCTTTCATTTTCCTTCCTCGACATTTTCTTATCCTTCATTCACTCATTCACTTTCTTTTCTTATTTTTCTTCCCAATCTCAGTAATATAATTCATTCCCCTTCACATTTTTTTTTTACATATCTTTTACTTTTTCTTCTTTTCCTACGCTAGGTCTTGTCAAATTAATGGCCTGTATCGTTCCAATATCGTGTTTGATTATACGCACGGGCATATTAAACTCGCCTCGCCGCCATTTGTACGCTGAATATTCAGGCCGAAGTTTTTAATGTATTTGAGCATGTAACGAAATCTGAACACGCAGACGACTAGCAAAATATGATTTCCATATGTACTGAGAAACAGGAACATTTCGACAGAAACAAAGAAAAGAGTTATCCATCCTCTGATATGACGTTAGATGCTGAACAAATCTCCCAACATATGAAGAGACGACCAGAGGCAACAGAAATATGGCTGTACAGAAGGATACTAAAAATTCCATGGACGGAGTGAATAAAGAACAAGGAGCGCTTACAGAAAATGGCAAGAAAAAGATGAATTATACTCGGAATCAGATTGAAATCTCTTGAAAAAAACATTAAGAGGAAGAATGGCTTGGAAAACCTAAGCTAGCAGGGTATTTTAATAGCAAAGGAAAATAGTAGAAGTGTTTCCAAAAAAATAAATGCTGCAAAATTTTTTTTATGCTAAAAAAAAAGACAAAATAATAAAATTTGCAGAAAGCAAAGACGCAAGCAGAGTTTCAAAAATCACAGAAGATTTGTTAGTATGGCTGATGCTAACCACCATTGTCGTACATAATGCATAACAGCTGCTATGACGGCTGCAATATATGTGATGCACTTGCAATCCTAAATGGATTACGAGACGTTAGATCATGATCATTAGCTTAATCCAGCCTTGTACCACCCTTGAAATACTTTTCATGGCTCAGGAAAAACATGCATAAAAATGATTATATAACATTATTAATATCTATCTGTTTTATATTTTATTATAATAACCAAGAATTTTAGGAAATTGAAAATAGAATAGACCATTGTTTCTCAACTTTTTAACCCTTGAAATAATTTTCATGTCTCAGGGAATCCCTGCATAAAAATGATTATTGTTAAGGGGTGCACCCCTTTTTCATACAAGTGGACTTGCCCAGTGTATACTTGTACTGCTGCCGGTGAATACACAGAGAGTAAGACAGTGAGAGAGTGAGAGTGTGGGGTAACCGCTTTGTAGGAGTCACAGTTGCGAGCACGTAGACTCAGAAGGAAGTCATACTTCGATACTGAATTTCCCAGACTGTATATATATTATTATTGCTACTAACCGCATTTCTGGATCTACTAACCGTATTACCAATTGTATTATTACGTCAATACATTTATTTGCTATATTTCATTCCTGTGTTTGTCATTCATTTGAGACCAGATCTCCGCCCGGAATCCACAAAAATTATATACAATTATTAATATCTATCGCTTTCATATTTTATTATAATAACCAAGAATTTTAGTATCGGCCATAAGGAAATTGAAAATAGAATAGGCCAATGTTTCTCAACCTTTTTACTCTTGTGGGACACTTGGAATTGTTTTAATGTCTAAGGGAATCCCTGCAAAAAAATGATTATATAGCATTTATTAATATCTATTGCTTATATTTTATTATAATAACCAAGAATTTTAGTACATGCGATAAGGAAATTAAAAAATAGCATAGAGGAGCCTTTCTCATCCCTTTTACCCTTGTGGAACCCTTGAAAAAATGTTAATGTCTCGGTGAACCCAGCATAAAACTATTATACACAATTATTAAAATCTATCTTTTTTATATTTTTATCATAGCTCAAGAAGTAAACATAATATAGGAACACTCGTCCTCTACTCGTGTGTGTCACTCAATGATACGCGAATCCGCCAAGTACAGGTCCTGTCTAGTGAAGGTGATTTCATATTGACGCCCTATAGACATCTCTAAAGACATTCGCTATGATTATTACTAATTATAATTTTATATAATATAAGAGGTTGAATCCTTTATTACAATAACCAAGGATTTTGCAACAATATGCCGGATGTCTATAGTCAAATTACAAATATAAAATTAAATAATAATTACTCAAATGTTCATTAGCCTGTTTATCACTGTTTCTGGTAGAACACCTAGCGACGTCTTCCGGAACCCTATTTGAGAAAAAACTGTCTTAGATAATGCGTGGGTCGTACAGGCTCAGAAAAAAAGATTACATTTTTATTACATTGCAGTAAATTTGCTTCGAATGACTGACTTAATAGAAGCGAAGATAATCAACTGAAGCTAAAATGAAAGTAATACAAATCATAAATTAATAATGTCTCCCATTATACAGCTAATAATAAAAATTAAAGATACTGTTACGACTAGGGTAAAAAAAAAAGTAATTAAAACTCAAATTAAGATAATAAATACGATTAATTGATAGTGTCTGTCTATATTTCTGAGATGAGGTATTATGTACACTATTTACATTATTCGGACTATTGTCCTCATCTTTGTCGCCATATTTATTACAACGTTTCGGCCTTTCAGTATCTGTCTATATTTCTGAGATGAAGTATTATGTACACTATTTACATTATTCGGACTATTGTCCACATCTTTGTCACCATATTTATTACAACGTTTCGGCCTTTCAGTATCTGTCTATATTTCTGAGATGAGGTATTATGTACACTATTTACATTATTCGGACTATTGTCTTCATCTTTGTTGCCATATTTATTACAACGTTTCGGGCCTTCAGTGTCTGTCTATATTTCTGAGATGAGGTGTTATGTACACTATTTCCATTATTCGGATTATTGTCCTCATTATTGTCGCTATATTTATTAGAACGTTTCGGCCCTTCAGTATCTGTCATGTAGACCGGAGCGTACATGAAATTACATAATTTACATTATTCGGACTATTATCCTAATCTTTGTCGCCATATTTATTACAACGTTTCGGCCGTTGTACGCTCCGACATTGAAGTAATATAATTATGTTATATATTATTCTGTTTTCGCAAGTCAATCCATGGTAGATGATACTCAGATTTTGTGCATGTTTCTGTAGACATAATTACTAGAGGCTGTGTTATATGTATTTTGTTGAAGTTATAATTTGGTATCCAGTTGAATTTCTTTAAGCAATTGTAGGATATTATATGATTTAATATCATAGAAGAGTTATTTTAATTTGGTTGCTAGATTGATTTTGTTTAGCGGCATAGCAACACCTCTATGGGTTATTTAATGCCAAAATCTAAATATTTTAAACGCAATTACAGATAAAATCCTTTGTAACTTTACAATAAATATGTACTGTTTGTCATTTTACTATGCAAATGTATTTTTATACATTCATATTGATTTTTTTTTTTTATGCAAATATATATATAGACATTCATGTTGCTATTTTTCCGGGTCAAGCTGGACAAGAAAAACATAAATTAATGGGAGTTCCATGCACTCAAAACCTCCTAAAAAAAGTCTTACTACCGGATGTAGTTTATCGGGTAAATTAGCAGATTAAATCCCGCTCTGTCTGTCTGTCTGATGCGGCATTCACCCTGGGAGGCTTCTTCCTGTTATGAGAAGAAGATTCTTGGGATAAATTACAGAAGTAGGGTACCCAGGCGAACTCGGATAACGTTCTTGCTTGCCGCGGGTTCCCACAGACGCAGAGACAGGAACGACCAGAAGAACAACAACTTGATTTTCACCAGAGCCTATTTGTTAGCCGGCCTGAGAATCAGACCTGTCCGCCTTGGGTGGCCCTACCAGGAACGAAGTTCCGGGCGGCATAGCTCATGGATTTAATTTTCCCCCCCCGCCGACTATGAGGTAATCGTTGGATTTGGATGCTTACAGTACCAGGTGTTCTTCAGCCAGTCCCCCATATAAGTACTGACCTGGCTCTACGCTGCTTAACTTCGTTGATCGTACGAGAACCGGTGTATTCAGCGAGATTTGACCGTAAGAGTAAATAAGTAAAAGTTTGCGGAAATCTATCATTTCGGAGTTATCAACAATTTAATTTTGGCCTCATTCGCGTTTGGTGTGGTCATGCGCGGAAGCATACTAAGTTAACAGCCTTTTTACTGATCTTTCTATCCTCTTACTCCTCTCAATTACTGCGCAAAACCAAAACTTTAGACACCGTTGAAAGTGAGGATTTTATTGAATTCTTTTTTAAAAATGTAAGTTATTTAGTAAAGCAATAACAAATGTTGATTTTTCTACTGATGCTGTAATGATAATGAATTCTTGTTTAAATCATAAGACAAATTTTAAAATGTAGCCTTTCCGCTATTGTCATTGCTATTTTTCAAATAATGATGCTTAAATAATATTGCTTCAAATTGTTTATGTTATTATTAAGTCCTTTGGCTGGGTTAGGGTTAATTTTTTTTTAAATAATCATGCTATTTAAAACCCCAAATTTAAAAAAAAAAATGAACCTTAAAATTATTATTAAGTCCTATCTCGTACTTGTTTTTTTTTTATTTTGTAAATAATTATGCTGTTTAAAATCTCAAATTTAATAAAAAAATTCAACCTTAAAAATGTTATTATTAAATCCTTTCTAGCACATTATTTGTAAATAATCATGCTTTTTAAAAAAACAAATTTTAATGACCTACAACTTAGGTTACTTTTTAAATTTCACGCATTCGTTTTAAATTAATGTCTGTGCGTTGTGTGCGTAATAATCAAGACAAGTGAAGCCCCATCACAGACAATGTCTGTTGTTGGAAAGGAAAGATTTTTCGAGACATCTCTAAGAATTTTCCTTTCGATTCTCTCAGAATTTAACCGTTTTTTCACCAGTCCTTAATTTATCATCAGTACAACGAGTGCCGTTGTAATTCTTGATAATGCTAGAGAATTGTCGATCTAAGAACATTTAAACGCTTGGAATGAGTTGTATACACCATCGCATCAACTATCTATATTTAAGGTGTTCAGCCATAAACAAGGCAGTTTTACTTGGATGACAAGCTCGAAGTCCTGCTTAATGATATATTCTACCCTGTTAAATATATCATCGATATATTCAATAGGGTAGAATATATAATCAAGCAGGACTTCTAACACAAGCTAATCTGCATTTTAGGTGTTTAACGTTAAGCAAGGTAGTTTCCCTTGGTTTGGTTTGGTCTGGTTTGTTTTACGGCATATCAACCATTATGGGTTATTTAATGCCGACAAAATCTTTATTTCTGGTAATATGTTTTTCATCAAAAATCTGTTTCTGGGAATATTTTTCCTTGAAGAAATCTATAGCTGGACATATTTTTTTCAAAGAATGTATAGCTGCTTATATTCATGGTATTTTTTTTAAAGTATTGCTGATAATAATTTTTCCTTAAAAAATTATTGCTGGTAATATTTGTTTTTTATTTTTTGCAAAGTATTTCTGGTATTAAAACCTATTTTAACACAAATTTGGGTGTTAACTATTTGCCCATACCTGGGACCCTAAGAGGTACTACCACCTCGGGTCAGGGTGGACCTGGGAACACCAGCAATTAAGAGGTGGTTCAACGCTCCTCAAAGTCTCCTGATCAGCGGCCTTGCTGTTGGACGTAGTTTATCGTTTTACCCAGGACGCGAATGAAGTTATTTTTTATACAAAGTAAGACAGTTTCCCTTGGGTGACAACCTTCAAGTCCTGCTCTGTGAAAGCATCTAGTCATTGTCTTCATCGATATATTCAACCCTGATGTCTTTACATCACTGACAATGTCTGTTGTTGGAAAGGAAAGATTTTTCGAGACATCTTTAAGAATTTTCCTTTCGATTCTCTCAGAATTTAACCGTTTTTTTCTACCATTCCTCAATTTATTATCAGCACAATGAGTGCCGTTGCAATTCTTGATAATGCTAGAGAATTGTCCATCTAAGAACATTTAAATGCTTGAAATGAGTTGTATACACCATCGCCTTGTCTGTAAGCATCAACTATCTATATTTAAGGTGTTTAGGCTTAAACAAGGCAGTTTTACTTGGAGGACAAGCTCGAAGTCCTGCTTGATAATATCTACCCTGTTGAATATATCATCGATATATTCAATAGAGTAGAATATATAGTCAAGCAGGACTTCTAACAAGCTAATCTGCATTTTAAGTGTTTAGCCTTAAGGAGGGCAGTTTCCTTTTGTTATGGTCCGGTTCCTTGTACCACGGTGATAGTCCAAGGCAGAACCAATAAAGAACTCGAATACGGATATGGAATAACACAGATATATTAAAAACAGGAATATATACAGAGAAGTAGAAAGTGTTAGTATGAACAATCAGGTTTAGTAGTAATTGTCTGAAACATGACTCTGTTTCAGACTGCCTCTGACTCGACTGACTGACTCCTGACGGACCTCACTCCAGACTTCAGACTGAACCCCGAATACCCTTCTTCCTCTTGAGGCGCAGTATTATTTACGTATGGAATAGTCCATTATGTTATGATGGGTAAGGTCCCATAACACCTTTGGATGACAATCTCAAGTCTTGCTCTGTGAAAGCATCTAGTCTTTGTCTTCATCGATACATTCAACCCTGATTTTTTTTTACATAATTCACAATGTCCTTTGTCATTACGTGAGGATTCTTCAAGGCACAATTTTCCTTTATATTCTCTCAGAAATGAATCGTTTTCAGCCATTCCTTAATTTATTTTCAATACAATGAGTTTCGTTGAATTGCCAATCTAGGAACATTTAAACGCATTGAATGTGTTGTATATCCATAACCTTGTTTGTAGGCATCAACTATCTTTATTCAGAGCTTCTCATCAAGTTCATCTGTCTTCGCCATAGTTGCAAAACGAATGAATTATCGTAGTACGTGGCAAACAGACATTGTCTTCATTGTTGAGTCTTAGAATATTATAGAATCAGGTCAGTACTATTTGATTTTCAAACAGTGCATTAAATGCCATATTAAGGAGAGAAAAGCATCACACTTGCCAAAGAGTATTATTATTTGATAAATTACCATAAGGGTTTGGTCGAATAATTTTGCACTGGGTTAATTTTTAGGAAAAAAACTATAAATATGAATATAACAGATTAAGACATCTAAAAATTTCAGAATTATTTAAAACGAAAAACGGAATCAACTATCTATGGAGAATTAAGTACTTGCAAATAATCGCATTTTCTTAGAAATTATACAAATACTAGCAGCATGGCCCGGCGTTGCCCGTGCTCGATTCAAAAATCGTACGACTCATACAGCAATCGCTATCACTTGACTTTTGCCCTTCCTTGCCTTTAAAGGAGTGCCCTTTGCCGTGCTGATGTTGCTACATGCCTTACTTCTTGCCTATCTCTCACTGCGAATTTTTTCTAAGCTCTATACTAAATATTAAATCTGTTACGAAAAAAGAACTAAACAAAATGAACACAAAACGATCAGCTTTAAAAAAGGACTTGTAACTGGAAAAACCGAATGAAAAAAATGTTAACAACAAATACTTTTTCACACCGAACCCAGTTCTGCGGAATCAGAATCAACGTTGAGTTTAAGCAAGCGAATGAGCCAAATGGAGTAACGTGCCATGCAGATTTAAATTTTTCCCATTTCTGACGAATGCAGCTATCGATTTTTTTTTGCATGCTAGTTAATATTCGTGGCAGCCAGCTATAGGCTCTCACTCTGGCCAGTAGAAAATGACCGCAAACTACATGAAAACTGCCGTAGAAGCATGAAAAAATCGATTATTTCCACTATCGATGGGAGTTGGGAAATGCAAATTCGGTCTTGGCCTTTCCGCTAACTTGGAGCATGTGCATGTAAATTTTGGTGGAAATCCGTCAAAAATTGCGGCCGTGCATTCGTTACACACACACACACACACACACACACACACACACACACACACACACACACACACACACACACACACATCCTGCCTTTTATAGAGATTCAGTAAATTCTTAAATTCAGTAAATTCAGTAAATTCTTAAATTCCTGAATTCATGTATTTAAACAGTGTTTAAATAAGTTAACATAGCCAACCCTGACGTTCTGTATATTTTTGCGATTGAGTTAAAAGCTACTTTATACCTCTATGGTAAATCTCTAAGAGTTTGGACGCCAAGAAATCTTAGAATTCAATTTCTGTATCTTTTTTGCAACGAAATGTCTTTGGGCTAAAAATAGTGTCAAGATGGTTGAAAAAGTTCCAGGCAGTGAGTAAGATATAATTGGTTTATGTTGGTTCTATCAAAGTCTCGTATCCCAAGTGAATGATCTTCTACCACCATTCTATCGATATGACACCGAGCATTGTCAGGAAGCGAAATTAGACCTCATCGGTTAACAACTGCCGGTCGCATTTTGCTTAACTGAACCAGTATTTTCATCCAGTTCCTGACACTAAACTTTGGTAGTGATGCTTTGGACAGATTCCAGAAAGCTCTAATGGATAAGGCCAATAGTGGATCACCAGACACCATAATCTTCTATTGTTGCAATTTCGGTTTTGGAAAGTGTTTCGGTCCTTCGTTAGGATCAAGTCTTTGAGCCGATTGTTTACGATTGTCACGATTTAATTAAAAAATGAATTATTCGAATTTCGCAGATGCGGCATCGAACATAACTTCAAAACGTCGAACTCTTTGACTTTCGCTATCTTCACGTGGAACCCATTTACGGACTTCCAATCTACTGAAGAAGGCCGGAGCGTACAACGGCTAAAACGTTGTGAATTTGGCAATGAAAATGAGGGTAACAGTCCGAATAATGTAAATAATGCAAGTAATTTTTTGCTTGCTTTTTATTAATTTTGTTCTGTTCTTTTTCTTGTTATTGCAAAATTATTGTTTGTTGGGGAGTTCTGTTACCTTGCATTTTACCATGACTATTCACTTCACAGCTGATGACGAGTGTATATAAATCATGTTTAAATTAGCCAACCTTAAACCTCTATAAATTTCTGCCACCGACTTATACGTTTATTTATTACTTTACGAT